AAACATAAACCAACATTTTCAGCATGCCATTGTTAACTAAACATAAACCAACATTTTCAGACATAAACCCCTGGTTCCGGCTATCCTTTGCAGCAACAATCAGCCATCATGTCACCGGCATCAAAAGACTAGTGACGCTCCTCAGCGTGTGAAGACTTGTCAGCCATACCACAAGGACAAGACGGATCACTAATCACAGAAGGGACCCTTGCAGCCATTACATGTCCCTCAGAGACCATGGGAAAGTGTTTCCCTCAGATTCATCACGGGATTGCCCCAAGTCGGTAATCTTGCATCCATCATGGCTGTCATAGATCAGTTTTCAAACTATGCAACCTTCATAGCAGCCCCGCAAAACGCATCAGCAAAAGATACAGCTCGACTCTTCTTCTCGCACATTGTCAAACATTGGGGTCTGCCCAAAGACATTGTTAGTAGGCGCGACTCACGCTTCACTAGCAACTTTTGGACCCATCTCTTCAGGTGTTTTGGGTCAACATTGAGTCACAACTCAGACTTCCATCCACCATCGGATGGCCAGATAGACCGGTTCGAANGCTCAGCTGCAGGCCCATTCCAGCAGCGCCTCGCGCACAGACCCTGATGCCAAGCACCAGCGCCAAGCCTCAGGCCAACACAACAAGTGTCGCGCGCGCCCACAGCACTGCGAGCGCAGACCCTGACCCGCAAGACAAAGTTGCTGCCATCGGACTTAGTTCTACATTGTAATAAACTAAGTCCTTTTCATTGTAATTATAGGCTAGTTTACATCATTTTCATTCAGTGTGCTTATACAGCTTTATTAGGACTAGTTATGTAATCTTGGTTTATTTTTTTTAAGTATTATTAGGGGGGATCAAGCAATCAAACATTTTCAGCAATCAATTTTATGTACTGGTGTCTCTCCCTCTCGACACCGCATCTTTTGTAATCAGCATTTCATTCATAAAAAAAAATCATCATCATTCAAAACCCAATTCTCTCTCAGCTTCCGCAATTGCTCGTGACATTGGTTTTCCCGCACGGCACTGACAATCTAGTCTAGCGTGCGGAAAGGACCTCATTGGCGGACAGCAACCGCACTAACATCGGTTGTTTAGCCTTACGTTTCTCTTCCAAAGAACATCAGGAAGGCGTTGCGTAGCAGAATTCATGAAACAAAGAAATCAGGAATAAACTCTGATAACCAGGCATCATAGAAATGACTAAGTTGGCGCCAGAACCAAATTTTTTAGTTGTTTAGTTTTAAAAAAATAACCCAAAACCAATCAAATAACACCAAAACCAGTAGGTCAAGGTTTTAGGAAACCAACCAAACCTCTTTTTAGCCCAAAACTGGCATTTTAAGTCGTTACTGGTCCTCCCTCTAGCCCCACCAAGCACCCATAATTCAAGGCCGACTTTTTTCTTCTCCTCCCTCCCCACCCCATTTTGTTTTTCTCTCCCCTTCGTTCAATCACAATAGTTGGAATTGGTTTTTTTCTCTTTCAGCTATTCATAAGTATGCTTAATCAAGTGTGCTAAAACATTTTAACCCTATGAAAGTGTCTTCAAGTATCATAGAGTAGCAGTAATATTTTTTCGAAAGTTGGACTTTAGAACAACAAAATCCAAATACAACACTAAACCCGAAAACACATAATTATTTTCTGAAAACCAAATTGACAATGATTCTCCCGAAACCAATTCCTATATCAGATGAAAACAGCCCCCAAGATTTTTACAAATTCTTCTATATTCCTCGAAGCTAAAACACCATTGGAAGTCCCACAAGTAATGCACATATGAAAATAAAAGATCATACAAATATCCTACAACCTAAAAATTTTGTTTCTTCCAGACATGTGCTAAATAAGGAAATACAATAGATGCTAACACCAGTTACATCATGCATGCTAGCATGAGACCACTATCTAAATATGACAGTCACTGATATTGAAGGAAAAAAGAATAATCAAGTTAAGCCCAATAATGAAAAAAAAGCAGAAATTGAATGATGAAAGATCTGTATAGACTTTATTACAATTTGAGGAAAGTAATAGAACGTGGGAAAAAGTTCGTCTGGGTGGAAAATGAGCTACTCTATTTACAAAATCGTCTCTTTAGCTTTCAAGAATGAATGGGGTAAAATTTTACCATGATTTGTTCAAAAGAAATTTTAAGATTTTAGATATAGATAATGTCTTAAAAAGCAAAAAAAAAAAAAAAAGATGTAGATAATTCCATGTTGTACAGCTTTTTCAGGTAATTCGTACACATCAAAATATTGGTCAACTAATGAATTTATCCACAAATTTATCCATGTAAAATTTCACCAAGGAAATGGGTCAAAATGAGACAATTCAAAAGTGAGTTTCAGATTCCATCAGTTAGCAAAGGGTCAGTTAGCAAAGGGCCAGAAAACTGATAAAGATTCTTTTTGTTGATAGTATAAACAGAGAAAGGAAGTACCACCTGATCAGCCTGGATAGGGTGTCACAAACCTAATTAGCGCTAGCGGGTTGGGCATCCATAAATTGGATACATAAAATCGAGCTAATTGGAAAATTAGTTATGGTGATTTTGGCAATATGGAGAAAGATAAGTAATATGAAGTATGGCTCTTACGGTTTGGACAAGATTCTCACTTGGAAACAGCCAACAAATACAGTTTAGACTTGATGTATGGTGTGATAACACCACTTTGGACATGTTGTCTATTACGACTAACAAGAGGGTCCTAAAGAAATGGAATACAATTAACAAGAGAGGTATGTTAGAAGAAGCGGAGGATTGGGAACTCAAGGAGGTGGAGGCTAAGCCCCCCGTTGGGCCATAGATTTTGCCAAGTTTTATCCAAAAAAATTTGGCAAAATATATTTGTTTATAGATTTTATCCATGTTTTGGAAAATTTTGGAAACAATTCTCAAATCTCAAAACTAGCTCTAGACCTGTTTTTGACCCAAAACATCATTATTGGATTTTTTTAACAATTTCAATAATTACCCCAAACTTTTGTATTTTATAAAAAGCCCACCATCTATTATGACCCAACTAATCACCAGCTAATTACGGTCATTTTTTTTTAAAGGTAACAATTACTATCATTTTCTTTTGGACTGATGGATCTTGTAACATTATTGCAATTTGACGAATTATAGTGGCTAGTAATTGTATTATTAGCAGTTGATATTAAAATATCGGGTTATGGTTTTAGGATAGTGTATTATGTAGTTCATTATAAAAATGATAATTTTGTGTCACCTTATCTATGCTCAGGACTATGGTTTGTGATAATGATAATGAATGACATAGATGAAGGTTCTGCATATACAAGATTAGCAAGTTTGTTTGCAGATTTTATAGTTTTTAGAACTTACGGGTATAAATCACATTTCATGTTTTTTCAAAAAAAAAAGTGAAATAGGTTTTGAAAAATTATGTCCAAATAGAAATTCATCTTTAAACCAAACTTCATCCAAATCAGATTTTTTTTAGGAATCTATTGCCAAACGCTAGCTAAGAGTATAGTCAAATAGTTTTGGGAGGATGATAGAATTATTTGTGGATGGATAGCTGAGAAATGGCTCACCTTAAAATCTCACTACTGTCATTTGTTCAATGGAGGTGAATTTAGACCAAAGTGGAATTTTCCGCGGAGATATAGAGCTCCAAGGAAAGTGGCATTATTTTTTTGATAATTGTGGTGTCCATGCCAGCTTTCTCGTACCTCAACTAGGGGTGGCAAAAGTGGACCAAACCCATTTGACCTGCCCAACTCGCCCAGGTTTTAATGGGTTGGGCATGGGCTACTTTAATGATGGGCTAAGTTTGGGCACGTGACTCTGTCTGAGGTGACCCACCTCTGTATCTCTGAGTCTGCTGCTGGCCCTGCTGCGCTAGGAGTGCCTCGGAAGTAACCTGAGTGCTATCTGAGTAGTCTAGACTGACCACGACCATGCTTGCCCTTGCTCCCAGATGGAGCACCACCCATTTATTTTCAGTCGCCCAAATCAGCCCATAATTCCAGCTCAAACTGACTCGTGAATAGCAATTGTCCTTTAAAGCTTCTAAGGATGTATTTGGTATGAAGAAAAATGCTTTTTCTAAATAAAAAAATCGGAAAATATTTTCTAGTGTTTGGTTAGAGAGTCAGAAATATTTGCTAGGAAAATAATTTTCTATGCTACTCTCCTCAACCCCCTCCATCCAAATCCCCATGTTTCATGTGAAAAGAAAGTACTCATTATTAAAAGAAAGTACTTATTTTCTTGAAATGAAATGAATACTTTTTCTACAACATAAATAGAAAGTACTCATTCTGTAAAACAAAAATATTTTTTCTACATCATGAAAAAGAAATTATTTTGTTGAAATGAAAGAAATACTTTTTCTACAACATGAAAAGAAAATACTCATTTTGTGAAAAAGCAAACTCTTTTTCTACAGCATGAAAAGAAGTACTTGTTTTGTTGAAATAAAAGAAAATACTTTTTCTATCGCATGAAAAGAAAGTACTCATTTTGTGAAAAAAAATTTCCTACATCGTGAAAAGAAAGTACTTATGAAATTAAAGAAAATACTTTTTCTACATCATAAAAAGAAAACACTCATTTCATTGAAATGAAAAAGTAAATACTCTNATCAAATAAAGTTCTAAATCTAAATTGAGGACAGAAATCATTAGGCATGAATTGACATTTATTCCAAAATATAAGACAAGGAGCAACATGAAAAAGGAAAAAAAATATATCATCATCATAAACCATTCTACAATGATATTTACGAAAAATAAAAATAAAAATCATTGTTATATATGTGGACTATATTTTATATGTTTAAAAGTTGAGAATATTACAAATATTTGGGTCAATTTGGGCGAATTAGGTTACAACTCATTGTTTAGCCCATCTTGACACATCCCTTCTTAACCCAAGTGAACTTTGGGCAGGGTTGGACAAACCCAAGTGAACTTTGGGCAGGGTTGGACAATGACTCATTTAATGAATTAGCCGATCTTGATCAGCCCAAATACAGCCCATTTGCCACCCCTCCTCAATTGCACCTGTTGCCTCCCACCAGCACAAGTATTGGGGTAACTCTGTCCACCAAAGGTTTAGGCAGATAAGAAGAAATCATCTAGCAAGGAAAGTGGCATTTTCGCGTGGTGTACAACATGGAATGCAATTTAACAACCGACACTTTGAGGAAATAAAGTTTCATAATCGTTACGTGTTTTTGCAAGAATCATGGGAAAAACATAAACCACATATTCTTACACCGTCGCCTTTACACGAAATTACAGGTGTTAAAATTCTTTATCTTTAACATCAGTTACCTTGTACAATAGGATCCACCATAGTGTGACATTGTAACAAATTATTATACAATTGAAGTTATTAGGTGTCTCTCATATCATATTTAGGTGAAGACCTATGAGAATTGTGAGAACCACTAAGATATAACGACGACTTGATGAATACAAGACACATCTTAGGTGTCAAACGCAATACATATGATATTCATCCAATGCGGAACAATCTTACCTAGGAACTTGACAGTTCTAGTATACTAACACTTCTAACATTCTATCCAATGCGGGACAAGCAACATAGACTAGTAGGCATATGATATTTATCTCTACAAGACTCTTCTGATATCATTTGAGGAATATGAGAAGAAAAAAGGTTATATTGATGACTTGATCAGTTCAAGACATACCTATTTATAGGTATCAACCCCAATGCACGTACTACATTTGTTCAATGTGAAAAAATTTCCACGCCTAAGAACTTGACACTTCCAATATTCTAACACTATAGATTCGTGTATCCAACCTTTAATGTAACCAAACAAAGATCTGCCATATAGATTGGGATGTGGATATAAGTACCTCCTATGAGTCCTTAAAACCTCTTATTTGTCTATGTTTGTATCCATATATTTCTTTTTTTGATGAGTAATAAAGGAATATAATTGATGTGAAACAAACCAGCATTAAGGAAATGTTGGGCCAGTGTTTGTATCCAAACTAAAAGTTTAGAAAAGAAGGAAAAGAAAAGGGGAATATCTTTTTTTTGAGAATGGTAACATGAAAAGGGGGATATCTAGCAGAATAGAAATGTATGTATGAAATTGAATTCCACTCCTTATCCAACTTCTAGCTTGAGCGTATTAATCTGGTTATTTTCCTTGTGGCTATCACACTTCCACCTTGATTCTTAATCAACCGGCAGAACTAAGATCTATAGAATTTGAATGACAAAATGAACCTTTTCAAAGAAAATGAAACTTGCTTCAGAAAGGACATAAATTCACTTATGCCAGAAGGAAAAAGCAGGAACTTATGGAGTTTTCACGTAAGATAAGGTCATGCAAATTTAATGTTCCACTACAGAAAGCTTCATCACCGAGGAAAAAAAAAGATAGTTTACAAGATGAAGCAATGTCCACTTAATTTTGCAACTAAAAGTAATGGATGCTAAAAGCTTACAATGATTCCTAATTCTCTTGAGAGCTTCAGCACATCGAGTCCAACTGGATTATTCTTGCCCTCAGGAATTATTGTCTTCATAATATACCAGTCCAATTGTGCCTACAAATATCCAGAACGGACAGATTCAAGATAACTAAATAATGGACCTCTAAAATTGATTATGAAAGCTAACCACTACCTACCTTAGGACGTTCAAACTTCTTACCAGGAATACAATGTCAATGACATTTGCCAATCACTTGCTAAGATAAACCATGTATTGCCCACTCTAGATAACGCCTGGCAGATACACTTAACATTCTAACAAATGTAGAATACAAGTTTCTTTTTCTTTTTTTGTAAGAACACATAGAATACAAGTCTTGCTCTTTTTGTTTCCAAACTTTCAACAATATTAAGCTTAACACATCATATAAACAGAAGAGAAGAATGGAAGGTTGCTCCATGTCTACATTCAACTCAGTCAGAAGATCACTTGAAATTTCACTGGAGCAAGGACAAGGAAACCCGAAAGCAAAACAGCAAGGAACTTTTGCGCATGCTACGATGATGCTATGTCACCCTACCTTGCACCATACCAGACATATATAATCTCAAGTTTTACGAATGAAAGAGAGTGCAAAGTCAGCAAATTTACACTAATGTGCGCCAACCCTCAACTCCAAAGAGAGACTCTAAAAACATATCAACACTGACGATTAAATGGGGTTTTTATTCAGTAAAGCCTATAAGCACGCAACCACAGTTGCTTTTGAACCACACAACTGCAACTGGCTGTTTTTTTTTCGCTTTTTCTTTTTTTGAATGACCGAAAAATCTGTCAGGGGCCAACCCTTAGGACCACCTGCAGCCTTTGAAACTCGAAGATAAAGGGAACACCCCCTACCCTTCTCCACCTAAATACCAGGCTTACTTGCATGGTGCAGGGCTCGAACCTGTGACCTAAGTCACAAGTCTATCAACCTTTACCACTTGAACTTAGCCTAGGGGCAAAAGTAATGCGACTGGTGTTCATCAACCATTACTAAAAACTTCAGCGAGGAAAAAGGTGTTCAGCAAGGATTTTCTTCAGTGAGCTTCGCAAACATGTGTCAATTGACCTGAACGACAGATTTGCATCAAAACTTACAAAATTTGTTGAAACCCCCTGTCTCACCCCATTTGCAGCTACTGACTCATGTGTGGAAAAATTCGCCAAAGAAGAACACATTCAGTAAAGCCAAACAAGAGAATATAAAGTGTAACATGCAATTTTAATAAGATAGTATATTCAAGGCCCTACATAAAACCAAGAACTGAGCATATTTATAACAGAAGCATAGCCGAGCTGTTGCTAGCAGCTTCTTTCTTCACAGAAACAATATGATCTTTTATAGGGTTTGGAGCAATCAGATTTTCGAAATCAAGAAACATAGCAAATTCTTCGCAGATTTGAAGAATTACCTGAACAAAATCCCCAAAACTAGCATTTCAGAATAACGGACACCAAGAAAGCAAAGAGTTGAAGAGAAACCGGCGGGGAATTGTTGCTAAAGAAAGAAAAAATGAAACGCTTTTGGGTGCTGTCTTGGCCTGAGGTATGTAGTGGTGGATCGTGTGTGGGTGGGGCGAAACGAGCTGGATCACCTTCAGTGAGAGAGAGAAAAAGAGAGACGGGGCGATCAGAAACTATTACTCTAATATCACATTTTCGCCCCCCAAAACTGTACGCAAACATATACCTCAGGGTCGTTTGCAGGATCAGGCGTTGCATTAAATTTATACTCACTTTGGTGGGCAATATAAATTTATTCCTAGATAAAATTATACCGTCAATTAAATATGTTATAAATTTAATCCCAAACTTAATATTGAATATTACATCTTATCCCACTTTATTTCATTAAATTAGGAATTATTTTATACTACCTCCCAAGTGAGATAAATTAGTTTAAAGATTATAATTCCGGAATAATTTAGTCCACGTACCAAACGACCTCTCAAAGCAAAGCTAGTTCGACGGCTACTCGAACTCATACGTACTATTCACTTTAGCTCTCTTGAACAAAACAAATACAATAATTTAAAAGTAGGACAGTCGCAATAGCGATCAATAAGAAAAGATTGCTCAAATGATACCTATACTCACCTTCAATTTTGAGGTTGCATTCGAGCATCCAAGACAGAATAGAGAATTGAAGTTGCATTCGAGCAACCAAGAGAGAAAAGTACAGAACTCTTGTAGGAAGGTGTTAAAAAAATAAAAAAGGTGCAACCTTCGAAATTCGGGAAAAATAGGTGAAACAGTTCGAGCTGACAATTTATGAAGTCCAACTATTATAAGCTAAAACTTCAGAAATAATTCATGAGATTCAAACTTTCACAATTCAAATATAAAAAAATTACTTGAGTTTCTGTCACTATCCAAAATCCGACTAGTCATGATAACACCTAACCCAACCCGCTAGGTAAGCTAGTTTAACAATAATCCAACTTCAAATTAGATTTACTGAGAAAATAATGATGAAATAATTGAACTCTTATACAACTTCCCAAGTATTGGTAGTACAAATCATGAGCTTCTAAGATTTAAAATTTACAAAGCTGGTATGAAATAAATACATCATCTGTTCGAAATATACATAGACAGATTCATAAACCTAAAGCTACCAAGAACAAGAGGCAGCTATAACCGGAACGCAAGTACATCTTCAATGCCAGCTCCCGCCACACACATCAACATTATCTCTAAAATCTGCACGCAAGGTGCAGATATGTAGTATGAGTACAACTTAACTCATGTACTCAAAAATAACAAACATAACCTTAGGTTGAAAGTAGTAACAAGCTTGGACAACTATTAGAGTTGAACACCAACAGCCAGGAACAACTCGTAACAATATAAATAAAGGACTACAAGTAATAACTCAAAGATATGATATTCAGCTCGTTAATAGTTACGGAAAATAGGCTTGTTTTTAAGGTATAACAGTAAAAGCCTAAATTTTTCACCGAAATTACCAAAATATGAATTTATCAGGAAACTGTAATTTTTCCCAAAAATTTTCAACAACAGATATGATGATTCATTATCACATGGCATAAGGAAAGTACATCTTTATGCCTACATGTCAATGTATATATGAAGTCATGAATGTCACAATGCCGTAAAGCATGAGGAAATGCATCTTTATGCCTACGTGCCATATATGCATGCCAAGTGCAATGCACCACAGTGATAAATTCATGTGCTCATGCTCTCGAAGCAGTCAATCTCACTCAACACGCTCAATCACTCAGTCCTCCCAGTCACTCTGCACTCCCACTCAGTAGGTACCTGCGCTCACTTCTGGTGTGTCAGACTCCTAAGGGGCGGATCCTTCCCAAGCGCTAATATAAGCCAATTATGGCATGAATCAATAAATCTTGTTGCGGCGTGCAACCCGATACCATAAAAATCACTCACAATCAGGACCTCGGCCTCACTCAGTCATCATCCTCTCCAGTCTCTCGGCCTCACAAATATCATGCCAATCGGTCCAAACAATTATAATATGATGTGAGACAAATGATAACAGAGACTGAGATATGAAATGCAATGAATGAGTATGACTGAATATGTAATTGCAATTTAAGCAAATAACTCTAAAGAAGAAATGAACTCAATGGGTGCCAACAGGATAATCATATCGCCTAAACATGGTTTCTAACATGGATGAAGACTCAATTACTCTAGCACGTAGAAATTTTATGGATAGAAACAAGATTAGGTCACTACATAGTACCACAGAATCAATCGAGTCATAATTCACACGGTGCACGCTCACACGCCCGTCACGTAGTATGTGTGTCACCTCAACACCAAACACATAACACGTATATTCAGGGGTTCATACCCTCAGCACCAAGTTTAGAATTGTTACTTACCTCGAAGAAGCCAAATCGAATGTCGAGCAAGACAAATAATACTATAGAAATGTCATCGTACCGACCTCCGAATAGCTCAAAACTAGCCAAAAGCAACTCAAGAACATCAAATAATGCCAAAGAAAACAAACCCAATCGATAAAGGTTGAATCTTTAATCAAAAGCCAAAGTCAACCAAAAAGTCAAACCAGAGCCCGCACCTCAAAACCCGATGAAACTCACAAAAATCTGAAAAATCATTCAATTACGAGTCCAGCCATACTAGTTTTACTCAAATCCAACTCCGAATTGATGTTCAAAACTCAAAAATTCACTTTATAAAATTTTTAGACAAAAATCCCCAAATTCTCTCTTGAAATCATCTATCAAATGCCAAAAATGAAGATAGATTTATAAAATATAATTAAAACCGAGTAGAGAATAATTAACTCAATCCATATGGCGAAAATCGCCTCTAAAATCGACCAAATCCGAGCTCCCCAACTCAAAATACGACCAAATGAACAAACCCTCGATATTAAATATTTCTACCCAGCTGTTCTGCCCCGTTTCTCATGACAAATGATCTTGAAACTTGCTTTTGATGCCTCCAATAGATTGCTTGTAAAATTCCAGTCAACTTAGGCTTTTGAATCAATCCATTTGACCTTATAATGAAGGAGATATGTTGGTTTCAATATTTGAAAATAATGTAGATTTTTAAAGACGAATTTAGTGGCAATTTCATAATTAATCTGAAAAAAACTGGCAACCCAATTCGTAGTAAATACGATGTTGAAACGTGATGATTTTAGTTGTTATGGTTCCAAAATTATGATACGGATCTAATGCTTCAATCAAAACAGAAATTGGTGCTCATTTGCTTAATGTGGTACCATTTATGCTTGAAGAAACTACGTCAAAACATAAAAAGCAAGTGCAACACAACTCAAACCTATCTGAAACTCACCCAGGCCCCTCGGGACCCTGTCCGAACATACCAACAAGTCCCACAACATAATACGGACTTACTCGAGGCCTCAAATCATGCACAACAACATCAAAACCACGAATTCGAACTTAATGAACTTTGAATCTTTCAACTCCCAAAACTCGTGCCGAACCTTATCAAATCAACTCGGAATGAACTCAAATTTTGCACACAAGTATCAAATGATATAACAAAGCTAGTCTAATTTCTGGAACCACAGTTCGAGCCGAATATCATCAAAGTCAACTCCTGGTCAAACTTATGAATATTCTAAACCTTCAAATTTCCAACTTTTGCCAAATAGTGCCAAAACATTCTATAAATATCCAAATGCAAATCTAGGCATACGCCTAACTCCAAAATCACCATCCGAACCTAATAGAACCATGAAAACTCCGATCCAAGGTCAAATACTAAAAAGTCAAACTTGGTCAACTCTTCCAACTTAAAGCTTCCTAGTTGATAATCATTCTTCCAAATCAATTCTGAATAACCTGAAAACCATAACCGATGATTCACACAAGTCATAATATATCATATGAAGTTACTAAAGACTTCAAACTGTTGAAAGAAATACAAATGCTCAAAACAACCGGCCGGGTTGTTACATTCTCCCCCACTTAAACATACGTTCTTCCTCGAACGTGCCCAGAGTCATTCGAAAGCCATCAAATCGCGGTGTAACTTTACCATGCACATACCCGGGGTAATCCCACATCACCCCAAATCATGTAAGCCTGATAACACAACATAACTGGAGATCATTACTTCAACCTTAGTCCATAAACCTTAGAACCCAAATTTCCAACATCTGCATCCTTACAAGACCAGAATCTCGTATCTACACACTGTATAAGTCTGAACAAGTTGAATCAAGCCATAACCATAACCCAAGACATAATCACATAATATACCACAAAACTCGCATACTCGTACTAATAATTCTCGATCACAGTAGCTGCTCAAAACAAACCCAACACCAGTAAAAACCTCATCTCAAGTAAAACCTCATTTAAAACCTTCGTACATTGCTGATGATGAAAGAAACATACAAAAACTCATAACCACTCATCAGATCAACAAGTCTTGGAGCCCTCTCTTGTCCGTCAAGAACCAAAGCCAAATCCTAAGCCGACTTCCGATATTATTCCTTCATACATCCTATAATCAAATCTGATAGTACCCATTCTAGAATGACCTCATCTCCTCAAAAAAAAACAATACTAATTACATGCCATACCAATGCAACCTAAAGCCACAAATCGTGCAATCTGTGTACCAATAAGCAACAATTCAAATGTACTCAATCAGGGAAAATGACTCAAATGAGAGAACCGTCCCGCAAACTTAACAAGTACCACCGCAACGCAATGCTATGAACCCATCACACATAGTAGGACCAAGACACATGAATATAACACAAAGGATCATATCTCAACATAGCCCCTGATGGGTTTTCAATGTCTTTGCCTTATGCTTCTTATGTTTTGATGATCTAACAAACTTATTGTGAAGAACCAGATAGAGAATCTGACCCACATAGTATACATTTCAAATGAATAATGTCCAGTCTGATCTCCAGCAAATGAATTAACAACCACAGGGAAGAACACAATAGGGACTTGGTGACTTGGTCCTTTAGGGTTCTCCGACAAAAGTACAAGTCAATGAATATCCGCAACCATTGTAAAGAGAAACACAACAGGGACCTGGTCCCTTAGGGTTCTCTGACAAGAAGTACAAGTCAACTGTACAGCTAGAACGTAACAACATGAAGTGACCATCTCGCAACTGTTACAAAAGAGGAACACAACTAGGACCTGATCCCTTAGTGTTCTCTGACAGAAGTACAAG